TTGTTCCTTTTCTATTTGTCTTTAAAAAAAAATCTAATACCACGGAAGTGACCAAGTGAGTGAGCATTCTGGTCAGCAATGACTCGCTTCAAAAGGTATTTGTCAACAATAATAATACAGCACCTCCTTGCAGAGCCTCAGGATAAAATTGAGAAATTGATTTGACCAGTGAGGTATTAGATAGTTGGTTTCAGACCATCGATTCGGCTAAAAGATTTTCCGTTGTTGAATGATAACTTGTGGAATATTTCCTCCTAGGGCAGAGAGGTTAATTTTCCTTCTTATAAATCATGCTATAGGAGTGGCCACCTGAAAACACTGAGCTTATATTTCACAACTTAACCTAGAAAGTGCTGAGGAGCATTGGGGTGCTTGCATGGGGGTTCAGGGTGAGAAGCTGGGGAAGTATGTTCATTTGTTCATTCATTCATTCATTCACCCATCCATGTTTATTGACCGTGCTGTGCCTGGCCCTGTCCTGGTGTCTGGGATGCAGCAGGGAGCAAAGCAGCCATGCTCTGGCTGGCAGGTGGATTTAAGGGAAATATGGGTAATTTATGAGCAGGAGTTTAAACTGTATCTCAGACTGACATGCTGCGGAACCTAACAGCAGTTTAAAAGTTGGTAACAGTCACTTTTGGCAAGTTATACCATGCTGAACCTGGGAGTTACGATCTTTTTAAAGAGTATGTTAAAACCTCTAAATATTCAAATTCATTTGTTTTAGGAAGAGGGGTCATTTGTATTGACTTGAAACTGGAAAGAGGAAAGAAAATCGTCAAGCGCTACCTGCATGTTTATATTAACACCGATAAAACCTGATTTTTTACCCAAACCCTTTTTCCCCCAATGGTAGACAGCAACTATTAAATCTCAGGATCTGAGAGTAATGCCACATGCTCTGTGAACATTCTGACCAGCTTCCTCGCAGACTTGGATTGAAGGAGCACTTGTTTGCGTGGTTTGGGACGTCCCCAGGAAACATCTCTGCCCCAGTGGATGAGCCTGGGCTGACTGCAGTCTGGGCCATGTTCTGTCTCCTGGAGCTAGCATTTCATTAAAACCCACATGGGCCTCTCTGTCTCAGGTGGCAAAAAGTCCTTTAAATTGTAACCAAAACCCATCCATCTTTCTGCGCACGTCAGTGTACGTTCTATGCATTTAGAAAAAGGTAGATGCTGTACACAAGATGAGTACAACTAAGTGCCCTCTGACTTTGCCCACTTACCTCTTTCAAGTTGCTCTTCTTTTGTCTGCCCTATCTCTTCTAGTTGTTGTTTTGTTTTTTTAAAAATCAAAATTATCTTTGTGGTACCCTCTTCCACCTATTATTAGCATTTTCAAACAACCTTGGTGACACTTAGAAGTAAAACTGCTGCTGACTCCTGGTCTGTGGCTCAAAGATGAGGTTTGTGGTCTCAGAAGTATGGCTCCAGGTGGTCTGTGCTGTTCCTTTCCCTCTTCGTGCGTGTGCTGCGGAAGGTGTGTGCTTCCCGGGATAGTCACTGAGCGTAGCCCTTTGTTCCTAAAGTCTAGGAACCACAGCAAGGTCCTGTAGTGCGTGAGGAAAGAAGACAGAGGCAGTTGTCTTGTCTGTAGTGTAATCTAGAATCAGTGGAATGGCACAGAAGCCATTTCTTCGTAATTTGTTTTTATAGTCACATACTCTGTTTTCATAAATGGCTCCTCAGGGCATGGTACAGAATCTGCCTTTTTGATCTAAGAATATTTCATGGCTGAGTTCTTCCTGCTTCTAATTAAAAGTTACGTGATGTACTTAATCTGGCTTTAATATGTATACATACTTTCTCAGTCTTTTGCTTCTTGGATTTTTTTTAAAAAATGGAAACGCGATAAAAAACAATGCTGTAGGTGACCACCATAATACCCACACACTCAATTTCTTTGTGTGATTAGTTTTATATTTCTGCTCCCCCCACCCCCTCCTATTTTCTTTTCTGTTTAAAAAGTTTTAATTGACAGTTTCAATAAAATTAGCATCTCTTTTCCTGTGACACATTCAACAAAAACATAGTGATAAAGCTGTTTCGAATTTGTATTCTAGTCTGTGTTTGGACATGGACATATATCACAATGCATGTGTAACACATTTCAACACCAGTTCAGCCGTCGATTCTGTGCCTTTCCTCCTCTAGAAAGACTGAGTTTTATTTAGGGGAGAAACTCAGGAACTGTGATGGGCTAATGTAACTGCAGTTTTAAGAAACTGAAGCTACATGGGAATGAGCTTGTTGCTTATAGTAGGACATAGGAAGTTGCGATTTTCATTGTTAAATTTTGTTTTCTTTTTACATCCATATGATATTCTTCCTGTGGGGTGGCCTGAAACATGGCAGCGCTAACTTCTGTCATTCACTCCATCCAGGGTATGATAAGTA